ACATTCTCCTTTCCTTCTGAAGGTTTTACAATGCATTGTTATCATTAACCAGTCTTTTGCTATTAAACTTAAATGGCCAACTGAGAGAAACAGTTCTGAGACCGTTCTTCCACCACTGATTAAGACTGGGGTGGCAGGTATTGGGGATAATATTCATTTAGCCTTCTGAGCTTTCTGGGCAGACTTGGTGACCTTGCCAGCTCCAGCTGCCTTCTCGTCCACTGCTTTGATGACACCCACAGCAACCGTCTGTCTCATGTCACGAACAGCAAAGCGGCCCAGAGGAGGATAGTCAGAGAAGCTCTCAACACATATGGGTTTGCCAGGAACCGTATCAACGATGGCAGCATCACCAGATTTCAAGAATTGGAGGCCATCTTCCAGCTTTTTCCCAGAACGACGATCAGTCTTCTCCTTTAGCTCAGCAAACTTGCAGGCAATGTGAGCTGTGTGACAATCCAGCACAGGTGCGTAGCCAGCACTGATTTGGCCTGGATGGTTCAAGATAATCACTTGAGCTGTGAAGCCAGCTGCCTCCATCGGTGGGTCATTTTTGCTCTCACCAGCCACATTGCCACGACGAACAACTTTGACAGACACGTTCTTGACTTTGAAGCCCACATTGTCCCCAGGAAGGGCTTCACTCAAACCTTCATGGTGCATTTCAACAAACTTCACTTCAGTTGTCACATTGACTGGAGCAAAGGTGAGCACCAGGCCAGGTTTGAGAACACCAGTCTCCACTCGACCCACAGGGACAGTGCCAATACCACCAATTTTGTAGACGTCCTGGAGGGGCAAACGCAAGGGTTTGTCAGTTGGGCGAGTTGGTGGCAGGATGCAATCCAGAGCTTCAAGCAGTGTGGTTCCACTGGCATTGCCATCCTCACGGGTGACTCTCCATCCCTTGAACCACGGCATGTTAGCTCTTGGCTCCAGCATGTTTTCACCATTCCAGCCAGAAACTGGCACAAATGCTGCTGTGTCGGGGTTGTAGCCAATTTTCTTAATGTAGGTGCTGACTTCCTTTACAATTTCTTCATATCTCTTCCGGCTGTAGGGTGGCTCAGTGGAATCCATTTTGTTGACTCCAACAATTAGTTGTTTCACACCCAGAGTGTAGGCCAGAAGGCCATACTCACGGGTCTGCCCATTCTTGGAAATACCTGCTTCAAATTCACCAACACCAGCAGCAACAATCAGGACGGCACAGTCAGCCTGGGATGTGCCTGTAATCATGTTTTTGATGAAGTCTCTGTGTCCTGTGGCATCAATGATGGCCACATAGTACTCGCTGGTCTCGAATTTCCATAGGGATATATCAACGGTGATACCACGCTTGCGTTCAGCTTTCAGTTTGTCCAAGACCCAGGCATACTTGAAGGAGCCCTTCCCCATCTCAGCATCCTCCTTCTCGAACTTTTCAATGGTTCTCTTGTCGATCCTGCCACATTTGTAGATCAGATGGCCAGTAGTGGTGAACTTCCCCGAATCTACGTGTCCGATGACAACGATGTTATGTGCGTCTTCTCCTTTCCCACTTTTGCTTAGGTTTAGCGGTGGTTTTCACGACACCTGTATCCTGGCGGCAAACCCGTTGCGAAAAAGCCATAAGTGTCTATTTGTTCTATCTATGTTTACTGTGTCCTATAGGTTAAAGATGTACTTACTATGTATTCTTAACATTTCTTATGAATTTCATCCATCCCATTATTTTTCTTGTTCTTTAAAGCAGAGTCTAAAATTCTTAAAGCAGAATCTAAAATTCTTAAAGCATACGGAAAACACTTATTCTGTCATGGATGAAGCACATTTCTGAGGTACAGGGCCATTAAACCACTTGTCTAAGATCCTCACATTTAGTGCATGGCAGAGACAGGCTTTCAAATATAGGAATATAGTTCTAGAGCCCACTTTTTAATCACCATCCTATCTTGATTCCTAATTTGCCTGAGAAAACACAGCTAGCAAGTCTAACCGCAAGCCCAATGCTCTTTCCTGTAACTACTCTTCATGTATAAGTACCCTTGGGGCAGATCTGTCTTTTTCTTCTCTGCATTCTTATCACCAAGCATAGGAGCTGTTGAGCAAGAGAATACCTCATGTTACATTTCTATTTTTGTTTTGGGTTAAGTTTAAACGGCCTGAGTGATTCCAATTTAACATTTAAGAAAATTTAACCTTTTGCATTTAAAGTTACACTGTCTTCCGTATCTGATTTTAAACTGAATTAACCTAAAGAGATCCAGTTGCTAGAAAGCAAAAGATAAGGATCCATGAACTGAGATCTAGCTCTGACTGTGAAATGGACCTGTTCAAAGAGATTAAGTCGTTTCTCTATGCTTCATTTTCTCCAGTAGGAAAATAGCCCTAGTAATTCTTATCCATCCCCTTCACCAGGAACTGTTATATCTACTATTTTTCCTATCACTAGCATGTCATTAAAAAAAATAATGGTTGGGAATTCCCTGGAGGTCCAGTGGTTAGGACTCCATGCTCTCACTGCTGAGGTCGCAGGTTCAATCCCTGGTCAGGGAACTAAGATACCACAAGCCGCGTGGCATGGCCAAAAAAAAAAAAGGTTTCTGCATTATGGATTAGCAATTATAAAATATGTAACAAAATCTATCTATATATTCATAAAATTAACTATACACATATTAACAAAATTAAAAAAACAAATGTACATAACCTTTTAAAGTAACATTTTATGCCATATTTGGACATGCTTAACAATCTGCAATTTGCTAAGATTCTACAGTTTTTCTCGTCCACTTGACTTTTCTGAAAGAAAAGAAATTAACAGCCTTCTGGAAGAAGCTAAGATGAATTACATTTTCTTAAAATTATATATATATATACATACACACACACACACACACATATTTTTCTCTAGGAAGTTGGCGATAATCACAATGGATACAAAACCATTTAGAACTCAGCACAGAGGTTGTTTAACCCTGGCTGCCCATTAGAATTACATGGGAAACAAAAACAAAACAAAACAAAACAAAAAAACCGATGCTCCAGCCCTATATCAAACCATTTAAGTCAGACTCTCTAGGAATGGAATGTGAGCAGCTGTATTTTTAAAAGCTCCCCAGACATTCTACTAAATACTTGACCAGCCCTCTTCAAAACTGTCAAGTCATCATAAACAAGAAAAGTCTGAGAAACTGTCACAGACCAGAGGAGGCAAAGGAGACATTGATGACTAAATGTAATATGGTATCCAAAGTGGGATCCTGGAATAGAAAAAGGGTATTAGGGGAAAACTACGAAAATCTGAATAAATTGTGGAGTTAACAGTAGTATACCAATGTAGGTTCCTTCATTGTGACATATGTACTGTAGTAATGTTGTTAACAATGGGAAACTGGTTGAGGAGTAGATGGGAACTCTCTGTACTATCTTTGTAACTTTTCCATAAATCTAAATATATTCTAAAATAGTTTACTTTAAAAAATCTATCTAATATGGAGCCAGGGTTGAGAATCACTTACATAGATTCCACTTACATTTTACCAGAAAACAAAAGGACCCTGTGAAATATTGAGCCCAAGTGCCAGTTCCAGCATGTAATGTCCTAAAGTCCTGACCCCTAGAAACAGTGGGCTGCTGCATTAGAACCGGTTACATTTCTAGAGGCACCTCCAGGGAAACACAAATGGACTAATTGCAATAAACATAACTGGAATAATCACAATCCTGATAATTAATTGCTTCCAAGATACAAAAATTCAAGAATGACTGCTTAGCAAAGGAGAAAAAACTACTCACAACCCATTTTTTATTTTAGAAAGCTTTCATTTTGATATATATGAGACGTATATATATCTGGATTCAATATAATGTCTTCATTATGGTACCTTAGTGGTTTGAGAAAATTACGAGTGACTTATCTTTACTAAGAGCTGTTAGTTCGCTTCTTATCCGTAAAGGAGATTTAGACCTGATCAGAAAGTTCTTCAATATTGAGTTAACTTTTCCTCTCCTGCCTCTCTCACTGTGGTAGGAAGAAGGCAAGGAAAAAATATCCCCTAGTCCTCCATAATGAAGTCAACCTGGACTTAACTTGGTCACACCTCTCTTTTCCTAACCATAAAAGATATTTGTCATCTGTGTAAATCTCTAGAGGAAAGTCAGAATTGTACCTGAAGAAATCACTCTGCACAAGTAAACATTTGACAAACAACAAGTACGTGGAGATGGTGTTTCAAAACCGCCTTAAAAATTTTTTTTGTTTCGTACATTATTTTGTTTGGCAAAAATGTCACCGATTTATAATCAATCCAGAACCCCTAGGCATCGTGGAATTAACAAATGGCATTAACAGTTTGTAGTCATCTGGATTTCAATCCAGCTCCCTAACTCCACGCCACACTAGGTTAATAATTTCTCTGAGCTCATCTCAGTTTCTTATCTGTAAAAAGAACGGTTTGGACTAAGCAATCCTCAATGTACCTTTTCACTCAGACACCAAAATTGGGTGACAGGGATTTAGAGAAACCGACTGGGAGTTTTAGGATTTAGGTCTTTGGGTTCTGGTGGGCGAGATGATATTGGAGAAACTGTTCTCATGTTTCTGTTTCTAAAGTCGGAGGCATAAGTGATGGGGGTAAGAATGCCTGAAGGGTAAGAGTATGACAGCGACCGGCCGTACGGTCAACTCTCGGGATTTTTCTGGGACTGGCACAGTATGCGGAGAGTTCGAACCGGTCCTCCTCTGGGTGGGTGGAGGACCCCGGTTGGAGGTGTCTAAGTCACTGCCTCTTACTTTAGCCACGGTTCCTTCTTCTAGAAAATTAATGAAATATGTAGCCTTTAAAAGTATAAAGTTTTTAAAAACAAGGTTTGGCAGTCCTATAGCTGAGTTCTACTCGAGGTGGGTTTTCTTTTTCCTATTCTCAGGCGCGATGCGGGGCGCCTCTCTGGCAAGGCCCCTGCCCCCGCGCGCTGCCGGGCAGGGCTGGACGCCGCCTGCTCCTCGCCCCCCGCCCTCCCTGAGCCGGGCCCTGGTCTTCCGCGGCCGGCTCTCCGCCGCCATGGGCTCGGAGATGGATCCGCTGCTCCTGGCCTGGAGCTATTTTAGGCGCAGGAAGTTCCAGCTCTGCGCCGATCTGTGCACGCAGATGCTGGAGAAGTCCCCGTATGACCAGGTACAGGCCGGACCCCGTCAGCCCTGTGGATCCCGGCAATAAGGCTGAGGGCTCTGGGGGATTCCCAGGTCCCCGGGAGGGGTCTCCAGGGAAGAAGGCGCAGGGCGAGGTTGACCTTGTGGTCAGCACAGGCACCTGGAGCGAGACCCCCTGGAGCCTTGGCCGGTGGGTCCTTACCCGCGGGACCCACACGTGCTGTGCTACGACCGCCCCCTCCTCAAACTTCAGCAGCCCCTTTCCTTCAGACGTCGCTTAAAGGAACAATTTGGTGACGAACTTTGTTAGTTCCCTTATACTTGCATGTGGATGGGCTCTTAAGCTCGCTGCACGTACGGTGTTGATTTCTAAAACCATTATGTATAAACATAAATATCTGTAACTTCCCACTCCCTGTTGAAATAGCTGCCTTTTTTTTCTTTTGATCAAACGTGTAATCCTTCTGGTTCATCTTAAGACTGTTGTCCAAGAGTGGGGAGCCTTTGATGCTGGGGCTTGAGTGCAACTTGAGGCAAATAATGCAAATTAGAAGAATGAGAATCTAGGAGAGGAAAAGATACATTCATTATTAGGAGGGAGGGATGGGAAAAAAGTTCCTGTAAAAGAAGGAAAGATGGCATTGATTATAGTAGTTTATTTAGGGTTTCTTAAATAAAGTATAATATTAAATAAAGTGAGTGAAAAGGCTTTTATGCTAGGTATAAGAGAGGTACAACTCTGGTGGTCAGGTAGTTCCTGGAAGAGACAAAAAAGGAGAAAAAGGGAGAGCAGAGCTCTGGTAGTTTGTCAGTACGTCTATTAAATGCAGAATGTACCCATGTAGTTATAGTTTCCCAGCTTTTCCTCTAGTGGTGTTGCCTTGGAGATGTTAGAAAAAAAAGGAAAATTGAGGGGGAGTTCCGTAAACTGAGGCGTGAAAACTGTCACTAGGCTCTGCCTTAGTGCCCAGCAAATGGATTGAGGATAACCTATTAAAGTGAATCTTTTGGCCTTCAGATAGATAGCACATCTCCCACAGAGCAATCTGTGTTAGTAAGAATGCTAAACTAGGTTGTGCTTGTGTTAGGTCACATTGGTTAATAGGACTGTATTTCCATAGACAAGCACGCTTCCAAGTATGTTTCCTGGCATTGTAGTCCCACAAATGCTGCTTAAAAAAAAAAAAAAAAAAAAAGGATTCCACCCTCAAATATGTTTGGCAACCACGACAAAATATGGACCCCTTTACATTTGTACAACCAAAGTTTGTTACAAACCAGTGATGTACCAGACATTGTTCTATTTTTCCATTGAGTTAGGATAGTTTCCATTCTGTGTTCCAAAGAACAACAGTCCCAAGAGTGCTCAGTGAAAGAAAGTTTCCTCATTAAATGCATTTGGGAAATGTATATTCCCTACTTTGGTACTAAAGGTTCTGAGGAGTTCTGCAGAAAGAAACTTTGCCTAATTTTGATGAATACAATAGTTCTGAAACTTATTTGATCACTGATTCCTTTTTTGGCAGTGGGCGAGGCTCAGATATCTTTGTTGTTATCATCCTAGGGAGATGTTGTCACATTAGGAAATGTGTTACAGGCAAAGCAGCAGTGTTTTTATTAATGGTTAAGACCTTTTAATCTTTTTTAACCATTGAAGTATAGTTAATTTACAATGTTGTATTAGTTTCAGGTGTACAGCAAAGCAGTTATACATACATATATTCTTTTTCAGGTTTTCTATGATAGGTTATTACAAGATACTGAATATAGTTATAGTTACCTGTGCTATACAGTAGGTCCTTGTTGGTTATCTATTTTATATATAGTAGTGTGTATATGTTAATCCCAAACTGCTAATCTATCCACCACCACCCCTCACCCCCGCACCCTGCTATCCCCTTTGGCAACCATAGTTTGTTTTCCGTGTCTCTAAACTTAATATGTAATCATAGTGACATTCAGTACTGCAGTTCAGGTTTAGTTTGTGCTAGACACTGTGATCAGGACTTTACAGTGTTCAATGACCTTTTATTGAGTGCTTACTACTTGCCATGGATAAATTCTATAAATTGTGTGTATTTCTTTGCTTAGAATAACCTTGCAAAGTATGTAACAAAGATAATAGGTAACATTTATTGAGTATTTACTCTGTGTCAGGCTTGATTCAGAGGGTTTTATATGTTATCTCATTTAATCCTCAGCTATTTTAGGAAGTTGGTACTATTTCCCCCATTTTACAGATAGAGCACACTGAGGCACATGGTGAAGTAATTTGTCCAAAGGTACAAAGCTGGTAAGCCCATTCCCTTTGTCTATCCTGTGCTGCTTCTTTGGTGCTTATGTAGCCTAATTTTTCAAAACTCTGTGTTTCTGAACTTTTTCCAGTACATTTTCCCATTTGCTGTTCCTTTTTCAAGATTTTTAGCTAAATGGGAATTTGACATATCTGTGTACTTGGATTAAAGGCTCTGAGAAGTCCTGAAGGAAGGTAACCTGCCTAATTTTGATTAAGACAGTATTCTGAAACTTACTTGACCGCTGACTGATTCCTTTTTTGGGGGAGAGGTACAAATTTATCCTGGGGAGATGTTGTCACTTTGGGAGCTGCATAGGCAAAGCATCAGCATTTGTATTAATGGTTAAGAAGGAGCTGTAGCGGAGATCTTGACCCCTTTCCTTGTACCTAGGGAGAACAGGGTGAACAAATTAAGAACTTCATTTAAAGTCTACAAAATTAACAGCTAAACAAGGTAGTAACTTGGATCTTTTTATTTGGCCTCTTATATAGTTCCCTTTAGGCCTTGCTGGCCCTCTTGGAAAATTAAGACTTGTTACAAGGAATGGTTAGTGGATCTGATTTTGGTAATGGTAGTGAAGAATAAAAGATACAGGATCATACTGGGAAATATTGCTGTTGTCATTAGTTAATCATCTGACATGGTTAAGATCATTAGGGCAACAGATCTTGTTAAGTCCTGGCCTCTTCCACTGTCCTGTTTATTGTGGATTTGAAATAATACTTCATAATGTGATACATAATTAATTTTAATATCCTAGAAATGTTTTTTTAATGTAATTCTTTGTTACTGTTTTATTGTTATAAGCAGGGGTTGATATGTTTAGCTCCTACAAGTATCAAAGGCTGCCGAGAATCTGTACCAGATCTAGAAGAAATTTATGACATTTTTTCCCTTTCTAATCCTTTTTATTTGTTATGCTGAGATAGTTTATTTAAGGAGGAACTATATATATTGTCAGAATGACGAGTAGCACTTCACCAGGAACATAAGTTTTGTTTTTGTTTTGTTTTGTTTTTTTGCGGTACGCAGGCCTCTCACTTTTGTGGCCTCTCCCGTTGTGGAGCACAGGCTCCCGATGCGTGTCCTCAATTCTTTTCATTATTTTTTCCTTTATTCTGCTCTGCAGTAGTTATTTCCACTCTTTTATATCCCATGTCACTTATCCGGCCTCTCCCGTTGTGGAGCACAGGCTCCCGATGCGCAAGCTCAGCGGCCATGGCTCACGGGCCCAGCCGCTCCGCAGCATGTGGGATCTTCCCGGACGGAGGCACAGAACCCATGTCCCCTGTATTGGCAGGCGGACTCTCAACCACTGCGCCACCAGGGAAGCCCGGAACAGAAGTTTTAACTTGATGTTACCTTACCAAACCGGCCTTTGGATTCCTGGTTAGGGCCTCGGAAAAGTTTACATGGCTCACTCCTATTAGTTATTCTTTGATCCAGCCTTTAAACACTGCGCTTTTTCTCTGTGTGCTTCTCTTAGCACTGATGTGTGCATTTTGTATCCAATTGTTATTTCATTTTGGAAATATTTTCCATTATTATTTCCCCAAGCTTAAAGCAATCCTGCTTTTTTCTTAATTAATTAAAAAGAATTTAAATATTTATGTTAGAGTGCTGATGACATTTAATGAGGAGCTTTAGGAAGCTTTAGGAGGTTCCTTTGATTAAAAGCTTGAAAATTCTCATTCTTTCTCTTAGAATATGAGTCCACGATGGCAGATCTGTATGGAATGCCACAGAATCTGGCACACAGGTGCCGTCATTATTTTTTTTGCTGAATGAGTGCCTTGATCATATTCATATATGCATCTGGATGGTGTTATTTATGTGTGCCAGCTTCCACTCTGTTTATGGAGATCACCCTAATTGCCTGGTGGTCTTTGCTTCTCCCTGCCCCCCATCCTAATTCTCAGCACCATAGGTTCTTATATGTATTCACCTTTTCATACACATGTAATTGCATTATGGACATTCTTAATTCATTTCTTATCTCGAGGGTCAGTTTTTTTTTTAAATCAGTTGAGCAAATTCTTCCTGGATCCCTCCAGGAGAGTGTTTCTGATAGTCATTATCATCATTGGTATTTCTTCACAACGCTCTTGTTTCAGTGGAGGAAGTTAAATGGAGAGACTAGCAATCTATGAAAAGCTAATGGTAATGTGATCAGAGCAGAGGCAGATGATTCTCAGCCCCTGCGGTTTCCCTGGTTTATCTTCATGTACCCCTTTAGCCTCATGGGCATTTTTTTGAGGCTTCTACATTTTAAAGTAGAATATTTTTTCCTCTGCAGCTTCTTGAATTACCATTCCTGTGCCACGCAACTGATTTTATTACGAATGAGTGACTTTGAAGCAGTGCCTGGACACATGGAAGAGAAAGGAAATTAAAATATTTCTCCTGAGTGCCAAATGGATTCATTTTTGCTCTTGCTTTTTTTTTTTTCTAGAACAAAAATAGCTTTTGTTTTTTATGTTAATATTCACTTTGGGTTTTGCTTATTTTTCTCCCAGATGAGGAGAACCTCTCTAAAGTGATTTGCTATTTGCTAATCTTTTTATAAGCTGGTCCAGGGAGCTTCAAAAAGACGTTTTGGTGGTGATACATTAACCTTTTGGAATGAAGCCCACCTCTAAGACTATTTCTTCTACATTTAGTTCTCCTTTAAGAGATACCATTTTGGTATAGTATCATCAAAAATATTTAATTAGTGCCTTGTATTTTCTATTAGGACATGTGGATTTTATTTAGTTTTGATTCTTGCCAAAGTCAGAGTAGTCAGGTTGGCTGGAGAGGTATGATATACTATGGACCAGCTTGTTTCCTTGGAGTTACACAATTTTATTTGGATACGGGAGGACTGAAGGGTAGGTTGAAGGTAATAACATGATGTTTGGGAAGGGTTCCTGAAAAAGATCGATTCTGAACTGCTTTTCCCAGATGCAGAATGGTGTGAAACAGAGGGCAGGGTCTGTAAGCATGAAGGACATTAAAGTTCTGATCAGTTAAGAATAAAGAAGGATAACTGGTTAATTCATCGTAGTTTCCCCATTTGACAAAAGACAGTAGGAACAATCAATTCATAGAGAAGTGCTGTCTTTTTTCAAAGTTTTCTCTAAATCGTGACTAGAAAAGTGGTTAAAAGTTATAAGACATAAAAGAGAGATGCAAAATGGCCTTCCACGCAGCAACATGACCTAGAGGGAATGCTTGCTTTTACAGCTCATGTCGGTCATCCTGATTAGTTGCTTAATCTGATTACTGTTCTTTGTGTTCCATATGTCAGATTCATAGCTTTAAAAGCAGCCCCGATTTTAGCTCCAGTATAATTCAACAGTTCATAAAACATAGAGGTAGTCGTTTTTTTTTTAAAGTTAATATACTTTTCTTAATGAGGTATATTTCTGATAGATTTTTAAATTGTTAAAATCTATGATTCTGGGAGTGGGAGGGTTAGCTGTTTATCAGAATGGGGGTAATTCACATTTTTCTTCCCACCCCCAATCTCTGCTTATAATGAGAGATGTTGCAGAGAGGAGGGGGTTATTACTGTCAATGGTTTGAAGGTGGAGAAAAGGCTGAAAGCCACTGGCTTAGATGAAAGGTCAAGAAGCAGGGGTCCCCAGTGAGCTGTATGTTAGTAGTTGGTTGAGACAATGATCTGGTGATCCAAGCCAAATAAACATCTTTCTGTATGATTATCTAATTTATTTCCTCATTGGGGCCATGGAGACTTATAACCAGGCATTCTTTTGATTCTGTGCTCTGCAGAGCAGTTCACGTTGCTGAATTTTAAAGATTACATTCCCACTTGGCTCCTTGGTCACTAGATTTCCCTAAACCTTCTGAAATCCATTCATTTCTCTGTTCTCTTACATTCTTTTCCTTCCTGTTTTTGCTAAATTCTGAATAATGACTCTGTAGTTTAAGAGCAGAGTTGGGCAGACTCATTAGCCAGAGTAAGTATTGGTGGCAATTTGGAAGTTGCATTCAGAATTATCTGGAGATTTAATTCCCTAAAGTAATAGCAACAACCTAAGAGAAAGCTATATCCTAGGGAGGAAGGAAGGAAGCAAACTGCTGTGAATTGAAGTTTATGCTGGTGAGTTTTTGCTGGTTCTAGGCAGTGCCACTCTACTTTCCCTGTCTTCTTACTCACTTTCACGGAGATTCAAAGGGAAGTTTTAATTTGATGTGCCATAACTGGGAGTCAGTTCTGAGTTCTGAAAAAGGAAGTAATACAGAGTTGGGTGCTTTTCTGTTCATTGTGTACATGTATTTATAAAGAAATTCTGTGTGGTTAATACTTCTTGTTGAAAGTACTACCACCTTATACTTCATGAACTACTGTAGTATAAGAACTCTGAAAATTATGAAATAATCTTCAAGGTTTTATTTTTAAAGCTATCCTATAAAGTAGGCACTATTGCTCTAATTTGAGAGGAGGACTGGGTAATGGAGGTTGTTCAAGGTCATTAAGCTAAGTGGCTCCCTGAGGACCAAGCCCAGGTTTTCTGACTCTAGGCCTGGGCCTGATTCTTTCTACTCAAACTATGCTGATAATACCCATAGAAATAATTTGCTAGACCAAGTGAACCTAACTTGTGGTTTCCTGTATATGTGGATTAATTTAAATCATAAAAACTATAATTGAGAGAGACCCAGATGAAGGTCTTAGTGATTTAAAAATTAAATCACTAAATTTGGGCTTCCCTGGTGGCGCAGTGATTGAGAGTCCGCCTGCCGATGCAGGGGACATGGGTTTGTGCCACATGCCGCGGAGCGGCTGGGCCCGTGAGCCATGGCCGCTGAGCCTGCACGTCCAGAGCCTGTGCTCCGCAACGGGAGAGGCCACAACAGTGAGAGGCCCGTGTACCGCAAAAAAAAAAAAAAAATCACTAAATTTGCCCTGTCTCTAAATTAAAATATCCTGACTCTTTCCTCCATCGTTCTGCTGCTCCTGGTGGATCTCCAGAGCAGCCATACCTGGCCTTGGTCTTCCCACACCCTACAGTAGTCAGCGTTCCGGCCTTGCTATGGTCTCATATGTAAAGCAAAGTGCATGCTCTTGACTGAGAGTGTCTAGGTTCAAATACTGCCTGCACACTTTGACCTCAGAGTTATCCGTAAAATGGCCATGACAACATACCTACCTCAAAGGGTTGTTGTGAGCGTTAAGTTCATTAACACATGCTAAGTGATCAAAAAAGTGAGCTGCTATTTTCTCTAGTTAGCTAGAGATATTTGCAGGTGGGATTCTGTCATATTTTTCTGAAAGGATTGTTGGTAATCTGGAGAGCATCTGTGAGGAAAGTGTCCAGTGTAATTGATGATAAAATGATGTTGAATATAATTCATAGATCATTGGTACACAATCATTTCCAGAATAATCTCTTTCCTTTTACCATGACTTCCTTACCTCTCATGTTCTGCTTTTCTGTCCTCCATCTAAGTCATCTGTGATTGGTCCATGCTTGAGTATGGCATTTAACACATTGTACTGTAATTTATTTAATTATGTGCCTTCCCCCATAGAATGTTTTCAGTGCCTCTCGGGGTTCCAGGGATGCCAGGAGAATGTTGTGGAATTAACGTATTCTCTGCCTACTCGTGGTTAAGCCTTGCCTCCATCTTCCATCCACACCACCTCACCGGTCTCTACACCTTTCCATCCTCTCGCTTCTCATTTTCTTCTCATTTCACATCAGGTCCCTAACGTTCTTTACCTGCCTGGTAAGTCGTAAGTGCGATCCTGCAGGGTAGGACAAGACACAGAGAGCATGAAGGCGTTCGTTGGTGAACAGAGCACTCTGAGGCTGAGCTGCCGGGGTCAATTTGGGCCACTGGAGGAATCTCCCTGCAGACTAACAAGCGTCCAGCATTTACTTACTCTCCGTGGCTCGTCTTCTTTAACTGTTTTCCTTTTCAAACGCTGTCTATAATCACCTCTGGTAAACTTTTTTACCTGTTTCTATATGGAACTTATCTTGTATCTCTCCTACACTTTACCTTTCAATCCTGCCTTATTATGTATCCACCTCATTTTTTTTAATCTCCAAGATGGACTGGCAAGAAAGAGCTCTGGCTTCTTTGTGTGACCTCGAGCAAATTACGTGACATCTCTGAATTTGTTTCCTGATCTGTAAAATGGATAATAACACTTACCTGCCTCCCTGAAATGGTTGTTGTGGGACTCAAATGAGATAATGGGGGATCATTTAGACATGTATACAAATAAATAGAAGAAAGAATAGAAGGGGTTATTTCTTCTGTCATCTCATTGCCTGTATCAGTGTATTTCTCTAAGTATGGATTGTGGGATCTAGGAAATCTATTCTTTTTCCAGCTCTTTCTTCTGCATGCTGGCATTGAAAACCTCCAATTGCTGTGTCTTCTTAGTTGCTGTTTTGTGTTCTGTTCAGCTGATTGCCAAGAATTCTCTTAACTCCCACCCCCTAGGGCTCTCACTTTCTAGCTTAGTTTAGCCTTTTCCTCTCTTGTTGCTACTGTGTGTCATGTGAAATTGCTTATCCTTGCTTGGTGACCAGATGGTTTACACATTGCTTGCACACATAATATATTCTTTAAAAAATATTTCGGGTATTCTTTTTGGATTTTAGAGCTGTAGAAAGCAAGGAAAGCAAGGATTTTTTTTTCTTTCCTTTTTCTGTTTCTTAGTAGCTTTCCCAGTAAAACATGCTGCAGATTGAGTGTTCAGAGGCTGCTGACTGTAGATGTGAAAGTGTAGATCTTTTATAAATAAATTTGTTGTAAATCTGTGTTTTTATCCAATGCATTTCTATTTAATTTTGGACAGAAAAAAACCCTGAGTTTATCAGCACCTGACCCTGATATATATTACATAGTCTATTGATAAAAATTTCTCGGAAGACATTGCAGTCAGAATTAATTTCTTATCTTTAGCTACTGATCCCATTATGTTTATGGGGAATAGAAGGGTTTATAGTATGTGGATTTTCCTCCTCCTCCTCAAGGGATTAAAGTCTGAATGCTTTAACCACCATGAACTTGTTTTTGAATATAAAAATAGCTTCCTTGGTATAGTTGTAAAGTTATTTTTAATTCCTGAGATACTGTGAATTCATTAAATATGTAAAGATCTCTTCTCTGTGCTCTAAATGAGGTAACAGTAATTAGAATTTTCTGATCATAGAAAATTTAGCACTCTTCAGTGGATAGGGTGTTACTTGTACAGAACTTGTGAGGGCACTTTTGGGGAAAGATTAAAGTTCATGTTTGGGTTTTTATTGAATGAGTTTGAGTCCACCTACAAATACTTGGTTGGTCATTAAGACTTTTAATTTTAGAAACTGTATTATCCTAAAAATGTTTACTACCTTCTTAATGCTTTCCAGGAACCAGATCCAGAATTGCCAGTGTCTCAGGTAAAGGTTTAGCTGCAACCTTTAGTTTAGAGAATAGCTTAATTACTATTGCTTAGTTGTTGCTATAGATTAGAAAATTTGCTGCCTATCTGCTTGTGCTGTTATAAAATTAGCTGTATCTACCAGTCATTCTGTAGATATAAACTATTATATTTCTAATACTTTGTGTCTATGGATGTAAAACTAGGGCACTCTACTCATTAAGACTTGTAGCTTAAATAGAAATGACCAATATTGACCTAGATGATGAGAAAAATAAAGGTGGAGGCAAGGGGAGTCAGAGGCTTAGAAAGGGAGCCAAGATGTCAGGAGTGTCTGAAAAGACTGTGATGGATTGGATCATAGGTCTTGAGTAAAGAGTAAGCCGACTCTGCTTGGGAAGGTCTTGATTTTAGAGAGAGGTGCCTGCCACTGTGAGGAAGAAAAGACTTGGCCAGACAGCCACATCTACCAAATGAACTTTGTTAGAAATGAGAGGTGGCCAGAGAGACCTGCTAACTGGATGAGACAGTAGATGAGTGGAAAGGGAACCCAGGAAGAGGAGGTCTGGTTAGGGGGCCTCCTGGCCAGTGAAGCTTTTAGCCCAAGAGTGTTTCCAGTAAGTCTGGGAATAAGGAGAAGGGACGAGAGAGCTGTAAATCAGAGAACTTAAATATTGCCAGGGGTTTGCCCTGCCAAGCAAGAGTGAATTTTAAGTGTTGTTTAGATAAATAAACAATTTGAACCTCATGGGGTTTACATGTGTAATTATCAAACCTTTTAGAAGAAAGTAGTTTATAAAATACTCTGATGGAGGCCTGTGTAGTTTCAATCAAACATGGTAAATAGGTCAAAATGTAGTACTCTGTTCTTTAAAAGGATGACATTTGTCATCGGAATGTTCATAATCATGATTTCCAAATTGATAGAGGGTGCAAAACTATTTTTTGTATAATACATGTACAAGTCATAAGAATCACCTAAGGTATAAATAGAGTAAGTACTGTGCCTTTTGTTTTCAGTAATTTTGGAAGATTTTGATTAAAGTTAAAATTAAATTAAAACATCAATAATTTGCATTGTTGGTGTGGTTTGAAAACTTTCAGTGGTATTTGAAAGTTTCAAAGCAGCACAGGGACTTCATGAAGGACCTGTATCTGGTATTTCCTGCTCTGTTACTATAGACTTAATTGGATAGTGATCTAAAAGAATCAGAAGGGAACAAGGCTGACTGGAGTCTTTTGAGCTCACTATTCACACTTTTTGCCTTTCCTCTTTTGCAGGTTTTTATCCCTTCAAAATAAATGAGGCTTTACAATAACAAGTCAGCATTTTGTGCCTAAATTTTCATTTTCGTAGAGTAGGCAGAGTGTCAAATGTTACTCATTCTCATGATGTCTAAATCAGGTTAGACAGACTGTTCTTTTGGTAGCTTTATTCTAAGAATAACTTAGTAAAATTGTCTCTTACATGTCTTAAAAGGCCTTACATCGCCTTGCATTCTGTATTAAGAGGAACAAAACAGTGTAAACCTGTTTTACTCAGTCAGTAGAGTTTTAACCTTTTAATTTGTCTATTTTTATCACTAAAATTGGATTGACCTCACAGAAGGTAGTACAGGTAAGTCAGTATTTTCCTGATGTTAGCTGGCAGATAGTTGCCTCAAGAGTAATGTCCTATATATAGACTAACTCAGCAGGTAAATGAGATGGGATTGTGTTTCGCAGATAAAAAAGGAAATAATTGATGTGATGATTACTCATTTAGATTGGGAGAATCTATGCTTTTCCCTTAAAAAAAATTCCTAAGCATCTATTATTTTTGTCGATTTTACAGGACTTCCAATACGTAGGTATTCAAATTTATCTACATAAACTGCATGACCCTGTCATTTATTAACAACTTAAGTATTTCTGATAAAAACCAATTTATAGTTTTATTCAGATTCAAGTGGCAGTGTAGGGTTACCAGTTTGCTTTGTTATGCATTTTATTTTATTTTTTAAAATTTTTATTGGAGTATAGTTGATTTACAATATTGTATGCATTTTATTTTAATCACTGATTAGTTTTGAACTTAAAAAATATTTAAACAGGCAGAGGAATTTAGGGCTGTAAAACATGCTTGGCTTGCCTCCAAAATAAAATGTTTTCATTAAAATTCCAAGAATTGTTCCTGTTGCCCAGAGCAGTTCTTTGAATACAATCTGATGTTTAATCAAGCAGTGATACATGATTTTCAAGGTCATTTTTTGTTAGGATAGAAGGAGGAAAGTCAGGAAAATTAATAGTCTCAAATACTGATGAAATTTAAAATTAAGTAATGGTGCAAGTAGATCTTATTGCAGATCTTTAAATATCAGAAATCACATCATTATTTCTAATTCTTAATAATGAGGTTTTAGAAACTGAAACAAATATAGATTTACCTTTTTGAAAAAGTGAATTCTTATGGAATAAAATTAAAAAAGAAAAGATCTTCCTATTTGGCTTCTGAAGCATATATATTCATTTGGTTGGGAGGGAATAGTGGATTTACATTCCTATGTTTTGCTTAGCCTGATGTAAAATAATTTGCACCTTCTTAATATTTGAGGGGTCAGTAGAAGGATAGAAGTCAAGAAGCACGATGGATTGGACTATGAGATAACAGAATGGGTATGAAGATAATTTAAAAAATATGTGCCTGGATAATTAATATCCAACTGTATAAATGATACTGTAATAATAAAAACTTGACTTTTAGAGTGTCAATTTAACTAGGACTCCAAATCATACTCCTGAAGCCTTATTAACGCCTCATCATGGCATACAGGTGGCATACAGGATCCCTCACTGGCCCCTGCCTTTTTCTCCAGCTTCTTCTCAAGCAGCTTCTCCTCAGCTGAACCTGATTCTTCTACCACGCTCTTGTTTCTCCATATGAGCCCTCAAGCTGGCCTTCCTTTGCCCTACACGCTTTACCTGGCACGCACTCTCCTGTCTTGGCGCCGGGGCAAACTCTCTTCCTTTACCTTTTCTTCCACCCCAAGGCAGCTGCGTGCCTTTCTTTGTCCTTCTATAGCATGTTCCAGGTTTTCGTTTTTACACTTTCCCCATAACACTGAAATTCTTATGAGCTAGAACTTGGGCTGTGACTTACTCATCTCTGTTCCCAGGACCCGGCATGCAGTAGGTGCACCCTGGGAATATGGAAATGAACTAGTGAAGCCCACATTCCTGCTTTACTGTGTGAACAGAAAATGCTGCCGTCCTTCCTCCTTTCCACCAGAGGTGCTCAGCAAAGAATATGCCCTTTTGAAAAATTAAAGCCATCAGATACTTGCAGGGCAATAGGAACTGTGAGGACTTAAATCAGGATTACTTATTTCCATCTTTAAAGTTAAATTAAACCATTAGTCCAAGCCAGTGATGAGTGACGACTTCCTTGACCCCTGAGAATAGCTGTGTCAATCTGGCAACTTTCCTAATCATTGGTGGCTCCCACAGTTAGATGCAGTTCCAATTGGAACTGGCTTTTTTAACAAATTAGTTCTTTGGGTCCATATTCTTCTCATTCAATTGGGCTAAATTTACACATAACGTTTGAAATATTTTATTCTAAGTTATCTGTTAAGAATCCAGTAAACCTCAACCAGAAAAGTATAAGACAAAACCCCAATAATCTAATCAAATGTAATTTCACTTGAGGAACCTAAATATATTGTGAAGACAGCCTTCTTTTTTTTTTTTTCCGCTGTGGTAGGCTGTCTCCTGTGATGACAAGCTCTGTGGACAGCTGATATTATATATATATATATATATATTTTCATTTCAACATTTTTTTTAATTTATTTTTTTATACAGCAGGTTCTTATTAGTTATCCATTTTATACACATTAGTTGTATATATGTCAATCCCAATCTCCCAATTCATCCCACCACCACCCCTCCCCTCTCACCCCCTCCCCCCACCACTTTCCCCGCTTGGTGTCCATACGTTTGTTCTCTACATCTGTGTCTCTATTTCTGCCCTGCACATTCAATCCCCTCTTGGCATCTGCGTCTGGGAGGACCTGGACTCACACGGGGGAGATAATACCTCATGGTGAGGACCAAAGGCAACAATGTAATTTCCTTTTGTTCCCATTAAAAGGAAATCATGGAGACTTTTAAAAATTCTTTTTCTTTAAAAAATTTTTTTTTTTTTTTAACATCTTTATTGGGGTATAATTGCTTTACAATGGTGTGTTAGTTTCTGCTTTATAACAGAGTGAGTCAGTTTAAAAATTTTTAAAAATATACATTCCAATTACTTTAGCCCACAAAAGGATCTCTGCCTTCTAATTCTTGTAAAACCATTTTCCATGTAGCTCATTTGTCACATATCATGCATTGCTTTGCCTTGTTATTTAATTCAGTAGGTGATATGTTCAGGAAAATTAGGATCCATGTTTTTATCTTCTCGCATTTCCTTCTGAGAACCTAGCCCAGTGCTACAAAAGTAGGAGGTGCTCAATAAATACACGCTGATGATTCAGTGCATCTCGATATCCTTATGTGAGGACTCTCTGGTCCTCTTGTAGCCTCCATCTGTTCCCCCCTCGGTCCCTTGCCTTCATGCAGCATGCTTCACAGACAGATTCCTAGTATGATGAGGCCTAACCCCTTTCCAGATTTCCCTTGCTGCTGCTTCCCCTGTAGTATAGAGTCGGTCCTATACTGCTGCCTCAAGGGTTGCCTTCTCCCCAAATCTGCCACAGGACACCAAGCTTTATTGCTCTCTGCTTCTATTGAAGCAGAACGGTAAACTTTTCTGATAAAGCAGTTTTAAATATTTCACAAGGTATTTAATTGTGCACACCTTTACGTCTAATTTCTCAGAGTAAAGCAAAGCTGATGAGATATTTTCTAGGTTCCTTAATTACCTTTCCATTTTTTCCCCACTTTCTAGCAGGTTTACTAGCTGATCTACTGGCTAGATCACAAAGCAACCAAGATTGTGTTGATTAGTTATTGGGAAGTGGGAAAAATTAATCCTAGTTCAAGTCAACATTTTTGGAATACCTATTGTGTACACAAACCATAGGTGTTATGGAAAATTCAAAAGTGAACAAGGTAAAAAAGCTTGTGTTCTGGGGGAAGGGAGGGCAAACATATGCCCAAATCATTATAGAGTTGGTTGAATATAGTAAGTACATAATAATAGAAGTATAAAAGAAAGTGCTTTCTAAGAAAGACAAGAGGGAAGTAGGTTCAGAGTTAAACTATCAGGGACGTCTTCACGAGGAACTTGGCCCTGAAGGAGAAAGGCAGAAAGAACACGTGGTTGTAGCTTTACTCATCTGCTTTCAAATTATTATTCTAGTAAAATTTTCTACAAAGATCTTCTTTCACTTATAAAAAGGCATGTTAGAAGACTACTAGGTAATTACCACACTTTTGTTTACTAGGTAATTGATCTATTGATTGTTTCTTGATTAATAATGACCTTGCCTTCTTGTGTTAGTTCCTGGACATAGCCCTTTAAATTAGTATCATGCATTAAGTATGGTAAACATGTTTGATAAAAAATTAGATAATAATAAAGGATGACTGATTTCTATAGGCTATGCACTACTTCTAATGCAATTTAAGATATGCTTTATCTTATCTATGCTTTTTAGGCAGCCTGGATTTTAAAAGCACGAGCACTAACTGAAATGGTGTACATAGATGAAATTGACATAGATCAGGAAGGAATTGCAGAAATGATACTGGATGAAAATGCTATTGCTCAGGTTCCACGTAAGTACTGGTTTTTCAGTTAAGTAAATGAAAAGCCATTAGGAGGAGGAATACTCTCTATGTGTACTTTTTTATAATAAAAATAAGACACATACATGAAACACGTGTATGCATGAAAAAATATTACCTCTATTCTGCCTTATAGTACAAAGGCACAACTTAATTATATTATCTTAAACTTAAGGTGTGAGATTGATGTATAACTATTTTTCAGTAGAAGCTATATTATGCATTTTAAAATATTTTATAAAAAGGCATTCTATCTGAACTGCTTATCTAATATATCAAAGATTGTTTATCTGAGAGTCTAAACACAGGAAGCATCCAAACAACAGAAGTGTTCTAAAAAAATGATAATTTGAAAACATCACTTCATTGTAATAATTGAAGATGATTTGCTGTAATGCATGATGTGAGGTGATGGAGTGATTTGCTAGGCAGTGACTGTCCATCAGGATTGTCACAATGGCCTAGTCCCAGCTTGCAGGTGTGCTGCTGTGAATGGTATTGGATGATTACCATGACATATGGTATCTTGCTGGTAATTTGTTAGTTGTGACAGTTATCAGTCATTTATATATGTTTGGAAGGTAATAGCTGTTTTAATGCTTCAGTGGAAATTGAGAAAAAAAGTACATATGTTTCATGTTAAGATGTCTTTTTTCCCTATCATTTTGCTCTTTTGGAGTTAAAATATCTAAATTCTAGATATTGGGGGTAACTGATCCTTTGTTGGGAGAAGAAGTTTGTATGAAAAATAAACTATGAGTATAGAACTGTCATTTTGATGTGTTGGAGCTTTGGAGCCTGCCTGTCTTGAGTTTGAATGCTGGCTCTACTAACAGGTTGACCTGTTTATTTAAATCTCTAAGCCTTTGCTAAACGGGTTAGTACTACCTACCTTGCAGAATTAGTGTGGAGATTAAATGTAATAACAAAAGTAACATGATAGGTACTCAATAAATATTAATCTCAAACACATTTTTCTAGATACATTTCCTGTTACTAATGTCTTTTTCACCAGGCTAGCACATTTGTGAAAATTGCATTAGTGGACAGTTTTTACAGATCAATAAATAATATACAAATTGAATTTGCCATCTCGTCTTATAGGTCCTGGAACATCTCTGAAACTCCCTGGAACTAATCAGACAGGAGGGCCTAGTCCAGCTGTCAGGTATGTTCAGTGTACTCCTATTTCATTCCCTTTGCCACTAAATATTGACCAGGCTGCATGAGAATCTTCCTTTATTGATCTTCTTTGTATTTTAACAATTTACAATCTTCACAGGCCGATCACTCAAGCTGGAAGACCCATTACAGGTTTCCTTAGACCCAGCACACAAAGTGGAAGGCCAGGCACTATGGAACAGGCCATCAGAACACCCAGAACTGCCTACACAGCTCGCCCTATTACCAGCTCATCTGGAAGATTTGTCAGGCTGGGAACGGTAAATTCTGTCAGCTTTACCATAGCCTTGTATGACCAAAGTAATTTATGTTATGTTAATCATTTTTCACTATTTTTATAGTAGACAATTATATGGAAAATTTTTTAAGGTGATTCTTTTTACTTGTGTTGGCTTTATCATTTTTTGCACATTAAACTCAATTTGTGTTTCAAGAGAAAGTTTCAGATTTCTTGTTCTATCATTTTTCCCCATAGGCTTCCATGCTTACAAGTCCTGATGGACCTTTTATAAATTTATCTAGACTGAATTTAACAAAATATGCCCAGAAACCTAAATTGGCAAAGGTATGTACTTAAAATTATTTTATGTTATGAAGTAATGTTCAAAACGTTATCATAACATTACAGGAAATGGATAAAAATTTGTGAAGAAAAGACCTTGTCTTGATTGAAATGGAAATGTTTAATTATTCTAATATCTGAAATTTCTCTTAGTATTGAGTTAAGGAAAGTCAGTCAGAAATAAAGCATGTATACCATTATAATAGGAAATTGTTTTTCTCCTAATAAAGAACAGCAATTTATAACAAAGAAAGCAGATGTTACCCATTACCCACCATCTTTGGGTAATGAAGTTTAGGAGATCATCTGTATGTGTGTGTATTTTTCTTTTTCAGCGTGGACTGTTCTCAGAAAAATAATTTTATAACCTTGTAGGATTTTAGAACTGTCAAAAAGAAGATAAAAAAATGTTCTCTTTCTAATTAATAATTAATCAGGCATCTTAATAAAGATTACTTGAGCCAGACAGCAGCAAGCCAACTACATTAGTACTTCTAACTATTAAATGCTCCTCTAAATTAAAGAGAAAGTGAGAGCAAGAGAAAAAGTGATAAGAGAGTGAGAAGGGAGAGGGAGAGGGAGAGAAAGGAGGATGTTTGTGACCTTTCCAGTACAGAAAACTTTAGAGGTGAGCATGGAATAATTCAGAGCCAGGAGCAGTTAGCGTCTGGAAATTGGTGTAAGCCTAGCTCAGGTTTTTAGCTGTAATCTCTATGAATTCTGTGCATGAGGGCTGAGCTCATTCCTATTATCAGTTCTACTGGCGTTTAACATATTTAGTAAATATTAAACACTCTAGGGAAAATGAAAAAGGACACTATCCATACAGACTTGAAATTTAAATCAGGAAAAAGAATGCCAGTTGGCAAACAAGGAATCAGACTATAATAATGTTTTTCTTTTTCTTTTTTTAAAATTTATTTATTTATTTACTTTTGGCTGTGTTGGGTCTTCATTTCTGTGCGAGGGCTTTCTCTAGTTGCGGTGAGCTCTTCATCGCAGTGCGCGGGCCTCTCACTGTCTTGGCCTCTCTTGTTGCGGAGCACAGGCTCCAGACGCGCAGGCTCAGTAGTTGTGGCTCACAGGCCCAGTTGCTCCGCGGCATGTGGGATCTTCCCAGACCAGGGCTCGAACCTGTGTCCCCTGCATTGGCAGGCAGATTCTCAACCACTGCGCCACCAGGGAAGCCCCCCAATGATGTTTTTCTTAATTTCTTATTTGATAGCAACCCAGTCAACTTCATTTAGCAAAATCATAAAGTTTCACTTATTTCCCTTTCCTTTATGAGGAATATCTGCTTCCTTATCTTTTTAGGCCATTTATTTGAGGTGGCTGAATGGCTACTTAATACCATTGTTGTTTTCTAACCAGGGAGTGTAGTCAGTAGAGGCATTTCCCTCAAATTAGGATGCTTCCAGGACAGACCTGGTCTATGTTACTAGACTTAGACGAACTAGATTTTGCACTTACTTAGTGTGTTGTAGAAATAATGCCAGGTTTCTCTGTCTTTGGTCCCCAACTTGCCTTGACTTATCAGGACTCATTTCTAATGTTGGCATATTGCTTGGGGTGGCTGGTGAATCCTTGACACCATCTTGGGTGTTATAACATCCTTTTCATGGCAGAGGTAACACCAACTGCTCTCATAAATTTTTTTTTTTTTTTTTTTAATAAGAGAACAAATGGAGAATTAGGAATAGTTTTCTAAAGAGGGTCTCATCCTGATTTCTTTTTTCTTTTTTTGGTTGCCTTCAGGTCATCTCTGTTAATAATCTTGATATCTCTCAGGGGTGCTAGCCTCTTTGCAAGTATGAAGTAATGGTATTATGGACAAATGTAGTACCACCAAGAGGTAGTCCGGTAAATATTTATTTATCCAGATAGGTTGGGGGCAGTATTATAATAATGATTCTCAGCCCTGGCTGCACATAGAGGCATCTGCATATTAAGGAAAAACTCCCTACTTTACAGTTAAACTCTACTTTGTTTCAGAAAGAACTTCCAGATTTTCCCATGTCTAAAGTGTCATTATTAATATCATAATCATGTTATAATACATGCAGTTTTATGACAGTCCTAAAGTTGGTCTTTTCATTTGTCTCTTTCTGATAAAATAGTATGTGTAATATGAAAAAAATTGTTGAATTATTTGAGCTTTCCAGTTCGTATTCTGTGAAAACAGGAACCAGTTATAAGTAGCCTTATTTTAAAATGAATGGTTGTAACAAATGATGGATAGACCCTTTACTTATAAATCCCAGGCACTTTAGAGTACTTTGTTATTTTGGTTCAATCTAGCTGCTGTCAGAATGGCCTTTGAGTTTTGATATGACAGTAAAGTACCTTTGTTAAAATAAAACCTAATGTATTTTTTTGCATTTTTTTTTCTTCACAGGCTTTGTTCGAGTATATCTTTCATCATGAAAATGATGTTAAGACTGTAAGTTTTGAATTTGCACTATTTTTTAATGTGATTTTTATGACTTTGGGGATTTAGATTCTGAAATGTTCTATTTCTTACCTTATAAACAGATGGAATTATGAAGATTGGAGAATTACTGATACTTTCAAATCTACTGTCAGTTTCAGTAGGAAACTTTGTATAACAATAGAAGTCGTAAGACTTGTGCCTGATCCATAGAGTAGTAGATCTCCATTAAAGGGCAAGATATAGATAATTGAGAATGCTGTGTAGTATGTTTGTGTTAAAGTTTATTTTTTATACTGATAGTTAGCATTGTTGATCCGTTTTCTTCTGTGGTCCATATAGTGATGACAGGTTTACTAATACATGTATTTCTGGTCTCTTTGTAGTGTTCCCCATCTCCTCCCCTTTAACATTTTATGATAGAAAATTTCAAACATGTGCAAGTGGAGAGTATAATGAGCCTGTATCAGCCATCACCCAGCTTCAACAATAATCAATAATCAGTCATCTTGGTAGCCTTTCAACAGAGAATTTTAAGGTTACATGCTCAGGACTTCTCCATTTGTGTCATTTTTCAACATGCTAATATGCAAATGAGCAGTAACTTCACAAATCTTGTCCAATCAAATGTAGTTAATTCTACAGTGTCTAATGATAGTATTTTCTGTCATTTTCTTATTCAAGGAAAAAACCTTATATATTAAGTATTCAGGAGGACAAAAGCATTTTTCTCAATTGTGTTTTCTATGTGTCAACCATCATGTTATGTACTAGGAAAACTAATAAAAATATGATATTTGTTCCTGCCTCTACAAGCCATGTAATCTAGCCGAGGAAATAAAATTGACATAATGAAACAGTTAAAAAGGTAATTGCCAGAATGTGAAATTGGTACCGAAGATCAAGGGGAAAAATCAGGGGATAATATTAGTGAAAATCCATAAAATCAGTAGGATTTTTTGGAAAGAGAGAGAAAAAAATGTAAAAGAAGGGTTAAAAACATGAGCAAGGTATGGAAAGAGAAATAAATACAGCATATTCTCAAAAATGGGAGTGTCAAAGAGACATTTTCGAGAAAGAAGTGACAGAACATGATGCTAGATTTGGTATGGGAGACAAAAGAAAGAGACAGCTCAAACTTGCCTCTTAAAGATGCTGGAAGAATGACTGTTTTACTAATAGAAATGGGATTATTAGGGAAGGACGTCAGTTTGTAAAGAAGCTGAATAATTCACTTGAAGGCATTTTTAGTTAGAAATTGTGAAAGGCTATCCAAGTGGAGATGTCACTGTATGTATTGGAAGCTGTGACACTAAAATATAGGGGGGCCTGGGCCAGATACACAGAGTATGGGAGTTATCAATAATGAAGTGATAGTGGATGTGGTCACATCGAGAAAAGAGAAAACTAAGGTTGGGGCAACTGAGAAACCATGCACATTTCTGTAAATAAAAGTCAGTACATGCCATTTTCACTCAATATAAAGCTGGTCAGAGGGTTTCAGGGTGATATATAAAATCATGTAGTTACACTGTCATTAAAAAGAAACATTCAAATACTATCCCATTTTATAAATGAGTAAATATTTATAATTACTAGAGTATCATAAAGCTATATCCTGACTTTTTGAAGATTAATTCATTTATTGCACATTTATTCTTTCATCCAACATATTTTGAGCCACTACAATGTGCCAGGCACTGTTCTAGGCCCTGAGATTACAGAGTGAAGCAAGCAGACAAAAATCTCTACTCTTTTGGAGATTACGTTCTGGTTGGGCAAGGAATAGAGACAGTTAGCAAACTTAAAAATATATAAAATGTCATGGGATAAGCAGTATAAAAATAAAGCAGGGAAACCAGGTAAGAGAATAGATGACATGGGGGAAGATGTCCTTTTATATGGGCTGGGAGGTGGTCAGTGAAGTCCACTCTGAAAAGACATTTAAACACAGGCCTGTATGAAGGGAGACAAACCATATGGTTAGGTGGAGGAAGAGCACGTAAATCAGAGAGAACTTTAACTGCAAAGGCCCTGAATATTAGCATTCTTGGATTGTTTAAGGAACAGTGAGGAGGCCACTGTGGCTGGAGTGAGGTCTTTGAAGGGGAAGAGTTGTAGGCAATGGGTTCAGAAAGTTGACAGATCATATGCTGTTTATAGGTCATAGTGATGATGTCTTTATTCATCTTGAAGATGTTGTTCTGCATCTTGGCATTTACATAATTTTGTTGAAGAATGTTGTTTTTTCAGCTACATTGAAAAAAATAGAATTTGTTCTATGGAAAACTGTATTTCTGCCTTTGAGTTCTTAATAACTTCCTCCCTTCCTCTCCCTTCTTGGGGCAGTATTGGCAATATTGACAAACTGAAGGGGCATGTGGGTTGGTGATTCTGGAATCTTTATTTCCATATGCTCTTTAATTTTGTCATGCTGAAGTTGTCACAACTCTAACAATAGTGAAAGGATGACTGTTTTTTAAACTTTAGAGGTTGGAGCACTATTACTTAGGAAGTTGGATGTATTCACAAACATGTTGTCGAGATCTGCCAAGGTTCCCTGTTCTTATGGACTTTTATAAACTTACGCCTTTTATTTATGACCTTCTAGGTCTTTATTAATATCTAGATATCGGATTGATTGACTTATTCAAAGATCCTTAAATATAAGTATATAGTAATTTATTTTGAAAAACTGGGGAAGACTTTAAAGAAATATAGCTCTCTGTAACCTCTTTAAAATTTTAAAATGTTAATAGCTTTTAATTACGAATCTTATTACTATGACAGTTTTGTTTGGTTCTTAAGTTATTTTCAACGTAAGTCAGAAGTAAATAATAGAATTAATTCAGTCAACAAATAATTCTTGAGGGCCTCCTAACCACACAGTGACATTACAGAACAACAGAGATGTGTTATGAAGTGGATGCCTGTCCTCAGGGAATTTAGAGTCCATTTGAAATAGTCACAAGTGGTTTTGTCTAGTGCAGCCCCAGTCTTCAAATGAAGAGTGATCATTAATATGTAATTTTTTAACCATTTTTATTCTACATCAGTAATCATATTAATTTCCTTAATTGGTTTAGACAAACATGTGGGTCCTACATAGGAACCATATCTGAAAGCAAAATCAGCAGCCTGTAATCAGCACTAAGTCTAATCTTGGAAAAATTAGAATGTGTAAAAAAAATTTAGAATGACATTTTTCTGAAAAATAGAAGGTCTGTTATATTAAACATGAAAGTGAATCTGATCTATTCACTGGAACAGGTCTTTTAAAGGATTAAGTTAAAATGAATATATTCAGATATTTACAATTTACTCCTGAACTGAGCTGATTGAAATATGGTTTTCTGGTATTTCCAGAGATAATGATAATTGAAATTATACTTTTTTTCTTCATTTTTCACTTCCATTTTTACCTCTTGCTTGGGGAAAAAAAGAAAAATAAGCATACGAACATAGTGTGTAGCGTTTTTAATTTCCATAGCTTTCAAGTAGAGGTGTTGATTTTTCAAGTCCTTTAGAACCTCAGCATGGTGACACCATTCCTTTATAAATAGTTTGCATATTTAGAAGTCTCCCCTGGAGTGAGGGAAGATGGGGAACACCAGGAAAGTTATTTATTTTGCAGTAGGAGATTCAAGGAGATCTCCTGGCATTCATTTCAGAGAAGAGTTAATATTAAGAAATGGGCAATAATATGGGATGCATTCTGAGATTATAGAACTGAAAATCTAAGAGTTACTTTAACTGAGCTGTTGGATATCATCATGATGTTAACACTGACTAAAGAATAAAAGGTTTTCAACCTTAAGAGAAAGAATAACAAGTATTATTAAAAAATCAGAATTCTTTTAAAACTAATAACCTGAGTTTTTATTCACCAAATCTTTATATGAGCTTCAGATTTCTGTGAGCTTTGAATTTGTATAAAGATTGATTTACTTTCCTCTTTGTCCAAATGGTTTCCACTTTTTTGGTATAGAATCCTAATTCCTAATGAGATGTCTCTTGTCTGATCTTAAATAATCACTAGAAGGAACAAACTAGAAGACGTTAGAGAGAAAGGGATAAACACGTGTAAAATGCAAAAGCAGTTAAGAAGATCTTTTTCAGTCTGCAGTGAAGGAAAGTCTGACCTTTAGAATTACTGGCATGTAAGGTAATGTCAGAATAATGGAATGATGGTTGTTAAAAGACGGCAGTTACCTAAGTACCCCAGCTCCTTTCACTCTTCTTCATGACCCTGTTTTCAAACCTTTTTCTATCTGCATACTTGATCTTTCTCTATTTCTCTACACCTGTCGTTAAAGTGGGGCCTGCCTTACGTGGTAAAGGCTTGACTCCCCTGGGTTTGGAGGCATTTTGGTTGGGAGAGGGTAAAAACTGACGGATTTTTAAATACCATTTTCGTACCTTGTATATTAAAATTGTATTCAAATAGACTGTACATCTGCTTCCCTTTGATCACTGTTTACTTCTCATCTGCTGTCGGTCCTCTGGTCTGGAACTGATTATTTAGGGAAGATTGGTGGGGCCATCTGGAGACATGAGCAGCTTGAGTTTCTGTCTGATTTCTAATGCATGTTTTGATTGATGCTAATTATATGGTTTATTTCATTATTTTTTGTTTCTGTTTATTGTTAGAAAAGAAAATCCTAATCTAAAATGAATTGCTTTTCAAAGGCTTTGGATTTGGCTGCCCTTTCCACAGAGCATTCTCAGTACAAGGACTGGTGGTGGAAAGTGCAGATTGGAAAATGTTACTACAGGTAAAATTTTGATTATTTGGAAAAGGCTTAGAAGCAGCAACATATTTTAGAGTCTCAAATCTGGTAACCTTTTCTGGGGGATAGATTTCCTCATGAAGAAAGGAGAACTGTGTCTTTGGCTTACGTGAGGAAGCATTTACTTAGCAATCACATGATGGCACTAAGAACTGACACCTTTAGAAAAGTAAAATTTTAGAGCTGGGAAGGGAAAACTTTGAGACCGTCACATCCAACACTCCTTTTCAGATGAGGAAGCTGAGGCCAAAGAGAGGTTGTGATTTGCATCAGGACCTAGTCAGTAAAAGACGTGGGACTAGAATCGAGTCTGTTGGTTCTCACTCCACTCCTCTTGGCTCTCAAGTCTTTCCTCCCTCCCTCCCTCCTTCCTTCCTTCTTAATTTTTATTGGAGTATAGTTGATTTACAATGTTGTGTTAGTTTCAGGTGTGCAGCAAAGTGAATGTTATACATACACATATATCCACTTTTTTTTTTAGATTCTTTCCCCATCAAGTTTTTATTTCTACTGATGCCTCACATCTGTAAAGTGCTTTATAGTTGAGATAGCCTTGTCCACACATTACATTATCTCACTTAAATCTTACGGCACTTTGGATATAGTTGCTATTATTAGCCCTTTGTCCAGATGAGAGAAATTGAGCCTCAGAAAGATAAAGTGACTTTCCCAAATTCATGTAGCTAGTATGTGGCAGAACAAGAATTTGAGCTCAGCTTTCCGATGCCAGTTCTTTTACTATTTGCACAATCCCATGGTGTTTCTCTAGGATCTAAATAGTCTTACACTAATTCACTTAATGTTTAAACACATTTTTAAGCAAATTAATTGAGAGATTAAAAAAGTTATAATAATTTATGAATATTATATAGCAACTGGTAAATAGGATCTGAAATGATTGCTTGATATTGAAATGCACTTGGAGCATTTGAAAAATAGAGGAAAATGAACAATTATATTTTATAAAGATAAATATGTCTTTTATTATTCAAAAACAAGGTAGACTAGGTACTGTGAGCATCCTTCGATGGTTATTAACTTTAGTTATTAGTTAAACACTGTGAGGAAAAGGAAATATATAAATAGAATAAAAAGGATGCTTATTCTTCTACTATTGAAATTAAGACTATTTTCCATTTAGATATTTCACATAGAACTCTGAAGTATTTTCTCCTACTGTTAGATTGAGGAAGCATTTTCTGCTAAAAGGTAATTTTGGACCATTATAACATTAAACTCCTATGAATATAATTTCTGAAGACAAGCTTGAAATCTTGAGCTTCTAAGCAAAACTCTCAGAAATCTATAATAATGAGAGAAAAGCACAACTTGGATTCCTTCTGCCATCCATATGAGATGGCATTTAAATGAGTATATTTTGTCAATTATTGTTCTCCTATGTTCCTTAATAGCTTCTTATTATGTATTCAGCATTCATTCATTTATTCATTCGCTCAAATGGCTTACAGTTGAATGGAGGAGAGAGAACAGGAAACAATTATAAATGTGGTTCCCATTTTGATAGAAGCAAGTGCAGGGTGCAATGGGAGCCCAGAGAAAGGTCAAGGATGGATTGCCAGAGGATGTAGCCCCATATTGACTTCTGTCTCTTTGCTCCTGATCATTAAGTTCTACTGGTTCTTCCTCTTCAGTAGCTCTTACAGTTGCTCCACTGCTACCCATTCCCACTCCAGTGCTTTAATCCTGGCTTTTAGTGTCATTTGTTTGAATTGCTACATTAGGTTCTTATCTGGGTTTTCTGCCTCCATTTTCTTGTCCCATCAATCCTTTCTGTATACCCCACTGTCAGAGTAACTGTTGCAAAAAAAACAGCTCTTGTTGGATTCTTTGGTTAATCTCCATTATCTCTGAAATGAAGTCTGGATTTTAAGTGTGGCACCCATGATTTTGTCCCAGTCTACAGCTTTTCACTTTTCTGTTACTTCTCTCATTCCTTGTTGAGTTTTCCTTTTCAATTAAACCCAACAACTCAGCACTCCCCTAACATGCTGTGTACTTTCCTGCTTGTGTGCTTATGCTGATAGTTTGCTTCCATCAGAGATATTCCCTCACCCCCACCCCATCCTATCTAGCTGTCAAAATCTTGCCTGTTACTTCCCCGCTGAAACTTAGTTTGCTCCTCCTCTGTGCTCTCAAAACACTTTTTTTTTCTCATTGGCCATAATGCAATTAAATTTATTTTAAAATACGTTTTGTTTCAATCTTTACTGGTGCCTTCAGAACATGGTTGTTATCTTCATTTTTGCAACTCCTTACCATCATTAAATGTGCATGCAGTTGATCCTTGACAATGTTTATTGAATTAAATTGGAGAGAAGTTGGCAGTGTTGATCCTTGACAATGTTTATTGAATTAAATTGGAGAGAAAAAGTTGGCAGTTGGTGGAGATCATCTCTGGACTCTGATTCTTTGATATTGTCCTGTGTTTGTGAACTTGACTGATGTTTTCATTATTCCTAGACTTTCTTTACACATGGTGGCCACTCCATTTCCTTTGCACAGGAACCCATGTGATAAATTCCTTTTTGATAGGGCTAGAAGAAATGATCTCTTAAGGGTACAGTAATAAAACACATACGACTCATTCTTCTTGCCTTTCTTTGGTTTCCAGGTGGTTCAGTAGCTCTGATTGCTTGTTTGCTTTTTAATTTGTTTATTCTCCATTGTTTTTTTAATAAATCTGTTTTCATATTCTTATTTTACATGTATCTTTTTATTGTAATCCCTTTTAAATCGTTTTTCGAAAGAGACAACTTAGTTACAAATATACAGACTCTCATGGATAATTAGGTGTTCATGGAATTCAGTGACTGAACTTCAGCCACGTGTTTAAGACTTAAATGTTCAGTTGAAGCTTTGTATATAAATATAAAGCTGTTCTTCAGAACTTCAGAGTTCTCTGATAACATTTTATGAATACTCCTTGTAAAAGTTGTGGGACCTTTGAAGCGGTAGGGGCTTCTACTACATCACACATCCTCTAACTTTAGGCCAGATTTTGGGGTCACTTTTAACCTCATTGTCCCACATTGTCCATTGGTGTGGCTATACCCAAATAGCTGGGTATAGCCATGCCAGTACTTGAGGCTTGGGTTAGGAAAAAAGAACAAAGCTATTCTTTCAAGAATGAAAGTAACATAATGGACCATATTGTATGTTGTTTTGACTTTATTTTACAAAACAAAAGCATTATCGTAAAGTGCCTAAGTAGCTCTTAGATGTCTGGGGATGAGTAGTTATGAGAAAGCCCAACAGATCTATTAAGGACAGGCTGAAGTGCGCTTTAATGATTGATTTCATTTCCCTGGGCGGAAGAAGTGGGTGTTGACATCAGGACAGTTATATTTAGGCAAGGAACAAGTCTGAAGTTCATAGACTAGATACAAAAAAAGGAAAAGAAAATGTTTATAGAATAATAAAATGGTACAGCTGTTTTACTCAAGTGGCAATTACTGTTTACCTTAAAATTGTTTAGAGTTTAAAAATGGGTTTATGCAAAGTCAAAAAATACCTTGAAATAAGTGAAAATGGAAATACAACACACCAAAACTTATGGGATGCAGCAAAAGCCATCCTAAGAGGGAAGTTCATAGCAACAAATGCCTACTCAAGAAACAAGAAAATTCTCAGATAAACAACCTAACTTTACTCCTCAAGGAACTAGAAAAAGAAGGACAAATGAAGCCCAGAGTTAGCAGAAAGAAGGAAATAACAAAGATCAGAGCAGAAATAAATGAAATAGAGATTTAAAAGACAGTAGAAAAGATTGATGAAACCAAGAACTAGTTCTTTGAAAAGATAAAATTAACAGACCTTTAGCTAGACTCACCAAGAAAAAAAGAGAGAGTACTCAAATAAATACAATCAGAAATGAAAGAGGAGATGTATTACAACTGATACCACAGAAATACAGAGGATCATAAGAGACTACTATGAACAATTATAGGCCACCAAAGTGGACAGCCTAGAAGAAATGGATGCATTACTAGAAACATAAAATCTTCCAGGACTGAGTCATAGAAGTAGAAAATCTGAACAGACCAAGTACTAGTAAGGAGATTGAATCAGTAATTTAAAAACTCCCTACAAACAAAAATTCAGGACAAGAGAGCTTCACAGGTAAATTCTGCCATTCAAAGAAGAATTAATACCAATCTTTCTCAAACTGTTTCTCAAAATAGAAGGGGAGCGAACACTTTTGAACTTATTTTATGGGGCCAGCATTACCCTGATACCTAAACCAAACAAGGACACCACAAGAAAAAATTACAGGCCAATATCACTGATGAACGTAGTTGCAAAAATCCTCAACAAAATATTAGCACAAATTCAACATCATTACACTAAAAAGATCATAACCGGGCCTCCCTGGTGGCGCAGTGGTTGAGAGTCCGCCTGCCGGGGCAGGGGATACGGGTTCGTGCCCTGGTCCGGGAGGATCCCACATGCCGCAGA